ATCCCCAAAGTCTTCTTTCAATGTAAAGAACTCTGTAGATTACCCTAGATCACCTCAAAAATAGCAGAGAATTAAATTCCTGCAATAGTTGCCAATGTATGAAAAAACTGAGTATCCTTAAAATATCAAGCATATATGAGTTAAAATATAGAAACACATAGTACTAAAAAGCTGTTCTCTTGCAAATGCTAACCCCGGCTTTGCGGTTCTGGCGACACATGTCTTGGTCTGTGTGCCTGCCTTCTGCTAGAGGAAGGAAAGGCTAGGAAGAAGAAAATGCCTTGGCCGGCAGAAAGAAGGTAAAAACTGAGCACCCAAGGGCTTGGTTATTTGAAGATGGTCCTATTTAAAAAGAAATCTCTACAAACTACATATCCTGACCTCTAAAAGAATGGGCAGGTTTGTACTGTTTCTGTTAGTCAAAAATCCCTCCCTGCCATCCAGGTTTTCCTTCTTTCACATTTTTGTTTCTCTGCGGCTCTCCATGTGCCTGTCGTGGGGGGTGGGGGGCCGGGGGGGGGGGGGAGTAGGAGCAGGGACTCCTGTGGCTCCACTCTGACCTCACGTGTGCACTCGGTGTGTCAGGGACACCGTCCCAGACACGGCAGCTGGTGCAAGGCCACAGTTAACTCAGCTACAACCGTCTCTGGAAATGGCAGGAAGAAGTTCCAAGAGGACAGCAGGAGTGCAGGGATCCGCTCCGTAATGGCCCGTGTTGCCCAGTGATGTCACCTTTGAGAAGGTAACCAGCATGACTGTCACCTGTGCTAAAGGGGAAGCATCTTCAGTGGAATGAACGTGGAGGCCACTGACACCGTGGTCAGCTTCTGTACCTCCGTGACCCCTGTGATGCGCGAACAGCCTGTCTACAACCCTGCACGCCTTAGACTGCGGCTTCCCCGTCTCTATACCCACAGACCTCTGCCCCCTCCCCCTACCATTCATGATAACCATGACGCTAATGGATGACGTGGCTGTCCCTTCCCCAACAGCCAGCTCTGCACTCAGCATGTCCCCTACTGAAGGATCTTTGGACCCCAAGGTTTTATAAAGAAGTATGACAGGGATGTGAATATTTATGTCTTTTTATACCTGTTATGAGGCAAAGACAGTATGCAGTGGGGTTTATAGTGGCACGTACAGTTTAATTTTTTATTGTTGTTTGGGAGGGTTGGGGTTTTTTGTTTGTTAGTTTGCTTGGCTTTGGTTTGGTTTTTCATGACAGGGTTTCTCTGTAACTTTGGACCCTGTCCTAAAACTCACTCTGTAGACCAGACTGGCCTCAAACTCACAGAGATCTGCCTGCCTCTGCCTCCCGAGTGCTGGGATTAAAGGTGTGCTCCATCACTGCCTGGCTAACACGTACATCTTAGTAACACCTGCTAGAGGGTCAATATTATCTGTGAAGCCACCCTTGCCAGTGACAGTTCACCTGGCCCCAGGTAGTGTCCTAGTGAAAGCCTCACTAAAGTCATTTTATAAACGAAAAGAAAGAAAAAAAGAGCAATCAAGCAATGACAAAACGTAAGTAACTACACCATTTGAACTTGTTTGACAAAATGTGCTGCAACAAAGGCCACAGGGATGGCCGAAGCTAACTGTCAACTGGACAAAATCCAGAATTATCTGATAAATGGGCCTTTGGACATGTTTGTGGTGGTTACTGAGGAATGGCACCATTGCCTGGCCAAGGTTTCTTGGATCATGCAAGGGTAAATAACGTGAGGTTGGGTAGTAGCAGCATAGACTAATTCAGTACAGTATGACCAGCTATCTCAAGCTCCTATGTGACGGTGACTTCCCCAAAGCCATAGACTGTAACCTCAGAGCTAAAATAAACTCTCCCCTTAAGTTGCTGTTGTCAGAGCATTTTATCACAGAAGCAGTAAGGAAGCTAAGATAACCACATATAGTACATTCCTGAAAACAGAGAGGGCCAAGAGAGCAATCGTGAGAGACAAATAACCAGGAAAGGACACCGAGCCCGTGGTGTTAAGTCACTGCACTATATATGGCAAAAATGTGACAACTTAAAATAGTCCACTTGTCAAAGCTGAGTTAAATATAGGAGCAGCTAAAGGAACGCTGCAAATAACCTCATCCGGTCACCGACATGCCTGTCAGTTGCAGCAGCTAGGAAATAGCACCCACAAAACAGTCCTGCTTCAGAGAGCGCCATGCCACCGGTTTCCCCACGCTGCTTCTCAGAAGAAACATGGCCAAAGGAGCCTCGGCTGCCCTGTCCGTAGTGTCACAGCGCCCTGCGGCTGCAAGGTCAAGACTGCAGGCCCTCCTAGTACAAGCTCATCCTGTCACCAGTCCTCTGCGGCTGTGACACAAAAAGTAGCCTTGGTTAGAATGAGAAGATCGGGAGTGTTACCTTAGTGGTAGAGCACTTGCCTAGAGTGTGTGAGTCCCTGGGTTAGATCCATAGCACCACAGCAAAAGGAGAAAGAGAAGAGGGAGGGGGCAAGAGGGAGGGGAGGACAGGGTGAAGGCAGAAGAGGGAGGAGGAAACAGCAGGTCCTTCAACATTGCTAAAGACCAGTGAGTCAATTTATTTATAAACGGATAATAACAATTCATGCGGCTACTCTGAAAAATGAATTTATCTTAAAACTTTTTGATAACACTCTGTAATATTCAATACTTTCCTTAGTTCCACTGTGTTAATTAAAAGAATTGAAGCCGGGCGGTGGTAGCCCATGCCTTTAATCCCAGCACTCGGCAGGCAGAGGCAGGCGGGTCTCTGTTGAGTTCGAGGCCGGGCTGGACCAACAGCCTCCAAAACAATACAGAGAAACCCTGTCTCGTAAAACCAAAAAAATAAAAATAAAAAATAAAAGAATTGATTAAATGTTTACAGAGAAGTCCAACAAACTGCCAAGTCCAGAAAAGAGAAAAGTCCAGCGCCATGAACCTCAAAACCTGATGGATTCATGATTACATTAGTGACTGGTCTTGTTGCTTCAACAAAATGCCTGGCAAATGCAACTTAAGGAACCAAGATTTATTTTTGATACACGCTTCACGGGTGCAGTTCATTATGGAGGGGAGTCCCAGTGGCTGCAGGCTTGAGGCAGCTGGTCACCTTGCACCCACAGTCAAGAAGCACAGAGCTGGAGATGAGGCTGTTCGAGAACACTTGCCTCATAGGCATGGTTAGACTCAGTCCTCAATGCTGAAGAAACAACAAGCCAAAGGGTGATTATACTCAGTGTGCTCTCTTTCTATTCGTTCTTGGACCCTAAACTACCTTGTGGTTCTGTACCAAGCCAACGGGGGTTCTCTCATCCGCTAACTCAACCTAATAAACCCTCGTAAATATGCCCAGAAGCTTTCATCTTTAGCAAATGAGGATTCTGCCAAGTCGATGCTATAAAATATCACAACTGTATCCCTTACCAATTTGATACCTAAATGTATCCCTTAGGCCATAACTATCTGTTCTTTGTCCCTGTGCTGTTCGTGGCCATCTCACAATACAGAATGCGCCCATTCCAACTTCAAACATCTGCTCGTGTTTTGACAGTTTCAACATCATTTAAAAGCCCAAAGTCTTGTGACACTAAAGACAATGCCTTAACTGTGAACTTCTGTAAGGTTACAAGGGAGTTCCACTACGCAATGGCACCAAATAGCCGCTCCCATTCCAACGTAGAACGGGAGCATACAAGAAAAGATCAGACCAAACCAACACCAAAACCCAGCAGGGCACACACCAAATCATGCGGCTCCTTGGCCAGCTTCTGGAGCTCTTGATGGGACAGTGTGGGCCCCGAGGGACTTCAGCGGCCCCTTTCCTCCAGCCCTGCTGCCTGCCGCACACACAGCCTTTCCCTAGAGTCAGCTCTACTCGCTACAGTCAGTGCTCCTGTCTCCTCCTAACACTGGGGTCACAAACGCATGCCGCCATGCCCAGTTTGGGTTTCTTTAGTTTTCTGAATTGCCTTTTGTTTGTTTGCTTGTTTGTTTTCATGTGGATTCCGGGGGTTTAATTCGGGTTGTATTAAAAACAAAAACAAACAAACAAACAAACAAAACAGATGTCTTGGGCCTGGTGGCACAAGCCTTTAAACCTAGCAATCAAGAGGCAGAGGAAGGTTCGACACCTCTGTGGGTTCGAGACCAGCCTGGTCTACAAAATGAGCACGGCAATTGCAGAGAAACCCTGTCTCAAAAAGAAAAGTGGGGGTGGGGGGTGGGAACCCTCAGGTCCGGGTCCTCCTGTGTGTACAGCAAGCACTTTACCAAGTGTGACGCCTCCTGGGTCTGCTGCTTCTTGTCTGAAGTACAGCCATCGTGGGCGCATTAACTCGTGTTCCAATAGCGTGAAGAGACACCAGAGCAAAGCCACTCTCATAAAGAAGGCGTTTAATCGGGGGCTGGCTTACGTTTTCATAGGACCAGTCTAAGATCATCGCTGCGGGAACATCATCAGGCATGGCACTGAAGACTTTACATCACGATCGGCAGGCAGCCGGCAAAGAGAGAGAGGTGCCAAGCATGGGCTTTTGAATCCTCAAATCCCACCCCCAGTGGATCGCCGCCTCCTCCAAAAAAGCCACACCTCCCAGCCCTTCCTCAACAGTCCACCGGCTGGAGACTAAGCATGAGACTAACCCTTCCCATTCAAACCACCACCCTGTCTAGCCGGTTTTGATAAATAAAGAGGGTATGCCCATGTGTGCCAAGAAACAGCTTCAGCCGACTAAGGTGGTTTAGGGAAACAAAGCATGTCTATCACTGGCTCATGAGGTCAAATACGACTTGCAGGAAGTTACTACAACATTTGATGAACATGGAGAGTTGGGCCACCCCAGACCTCCCGCTGGGGACAGAAACTCACACCTGTAGGAAGTTCTTGGTGGTGATTACTAAACTACCTTTGAGATTCACTGGCTTATTTTAGAGGAACTATTTTTGCCAAGATAGAAAAACGTTATCTGCTTGGTTTTCCTTTTTAACTTCCTGGCTAACGGATTTTTTTTTCTTTTCAGGAGACAACAATGGGTGGTCTCTACAATTTGACAAATACTTTGCTGCTTACCACAAACTGAGTTCCACGAATCCCTTAGCGGTGAAATCTTCTGAATGCTGTAAGTAGCCACAGCAGCTGAGTCCCCTCTTTGATGAGTTCATGGTAAGACACCAGCCTATTAAATTTTGGATACAGCATTCTTGTTTGAAAGCCAATTATAGTTTGCTAGTTGCAAACATTTTAAGAAAGGAGGCCTTAATTTGGAATTCTGTTTTTAAGTGCATCAGGAATCAATCAAATCAGGTATTGCAAACAGAATTAGTGCCAGCGGTCAGGGTTGCCAATTTTTATGTAATGTCCTTTTCTGCCATCGCCATTAACGCTGCAGTAAAGAAAAGTAAGAAAATGCCGGAAGAGCAGAGCAGCTGCTCGGGTCCTGATGTCTGCAAGTAAAGAAAGCGTCTGCGGTTGAAGCCGCAGATCTCTGAAAGCCGTATAGCTGCAGCTTGCTATGCACAGTCGCTGCACGGGCTACGGAAGGAAGAAAGCCTGGACCCTAGTAGCTTCGTCATGTTTTAGGTCAGGAATACTTAGTACAATAATTCCTCTTAAATGAATTTTGTCTAGTTAATAAACTATGCAAATATACATGTGTGGTGCTTTGAACCTGTAATTTTCAAAGTTATGCTCATAAGCCAAGGGTTCGAGGACAGGAAGGCTCTTTTGCTATATTCTTTCCCTTTTTGTTCTTCCACAAATTTAAAGGTTAGCTTTTCAGATCGTTGACATTTTTTGTCTTCACCACCTAGTGCTAAGTAAGGCACGCACTTCTCTGACGTGAGTTTTAGAGGGTGCCTAGAAACTGACAGCAGCTGGGCATCACACCTGCCTCTCAAAAGAGGGGGACCAAATAATTTGATCACTAGAAAGCTGAAAGTTGGGCTGGTGGTGTAGCTTCATGGCAGGACGCTTGCCTAGCATGTCCGAAGCCCCAGGATCAATCTCTAATACTGTTGAAAAAAATTTTAAGCTAAAACTTATTTGAAGAAAAAAATTTAAAAGGTATAGCATTGTTATTAATACAATATAAAAATATAAACTAAATGTATTGTCTTAAAATGTAATTTCATTTTTAATGTATTAATTTTCATTCACGCTATTCAAAAAATTGAATTTAATCTTATATTTTACCACTTTCCAAGAATATTTTATCAACTTAAAATTAAGGTATAGCTATTAACAGAAATAAATCAATAACAAGTTAACAAGTTAAAAAGGCAAAATTTAAATGGAAAATGAAAAGGTAATAGCCAAAAAAAAATTCTGTAAGAAAATGCTCAGTTTGGTGTCATGGTACATACCTGCAAATATGTCAACATAAGAAGCTTGCTCGGTGGCATAATGTTTTAGTGACAACACCAGAAGCCTGGGTAGGAGGATCTGATATCCAAGACCACCCTGGGCCACACAGTGGGAGCCTGTCTCCAAACACATGGGATAGAAAGGGGGGGAAGGGAGAAGAAGGAAGGAAGGGAACAATATGAGAGAGGGAGAGAAAGAGAAGGAGGGAGGACGGAGGAGGGAGGACGGAGGAGGGAGGAGGGAGGGAGATCAGGAAAGCACTGGCTGAGGAGACATCAGCAGCTGTGTCCAAAGCTCAGGTCACTACAGTCAAGGAGAGAGACGGCAGCTTACCCAACACAGAGTTTGTAAAGCAAAAGTAATGGTGAAAAAGAACCCTCTCACTGTGGAAGACATTTGTCACGAGCATAATTACTCAAGAAGCATGGCACTACACATTAAGCGGTGGCCCCGGTCAACACAGAGGTAAATTTTTCTATCAACACTTAGAAGACTTTTTTTTAATTAGATTTTTTTAGAGAGTGGGGATTGAAATTGCTAAGTTAAACATCTTTTCCAGGCAGTACTTGAAATAAGAGTGCAGGATAAAAATCTTGGGGTGAAACTTAAATTAAGGTTCCTACTTGTTAACACTTTTCTCGCATCAGATAAGATCTTGGTGGGAATTAGCCTGAGAACAGCTCAAAAAAAACACTCTTGGGTACTTGAAAGAATGTAAGAAATCCACATTTTAAAGTCATGGGAAGCATCATACGTAGGATAGCCAACGCAGGAGCAAAGTTTAGCTTTGGAGGATGTGAGGGAGAAAGTGTTTCCTCGTTGGCTACAAGCGTTGACTTGCTGATGCATTAACCTTTTTAACCCAGTTGAAATCCTTACATGAACAACTTTTAATAGGATTTTATATTAGCAGGGTAGCTTTGAACCCATAGTCCTTCTACCTCTGCCTCCCAAATGCCAGATCACAGACTGTGCCACCACGTTCCACAGAACAGGTACAACGTTGGGATGTGACAGAATTCAGTTTTTCAAAAGGTATCTTAAAACATCCTTTCTTTTCTTTGGATGAATAATACCTAAAACTGCACTTGTGAGGTGTAGTTGGGTTCTCTCTCTCTCTCTCTCTCTCTCTCTCTCTCTCTCTCTCTCTCTCTCTCTCTCTCTCTCTCTCTCTCTTCTCTTTGAAGGGCCTACCACCCAGTTCCCAAATAAATCACACAAAAAAGAGACTTATTCTTTTTTACGAATGCGTGGCCTTATCTTGGCTTGTTTCTAGACAGTTTTTCTTAAATTATTCCATCTACCTTTTGCCTCTGGGCTTTTATCTTTCTCTATTCTGTATACTTTTATTTCTTTCTTACTCTGTTGCTGGTTGTGTAGCTGGGTTGCTGGCCCCAGATGTCCTCTTCTCCTTCTCCCTTTTCTTGATCCCCATCCATTCTTCCCAGATTTCTCCTCTTATTTATTCCCTCTGCCTGCCAGCCCCACCTATCCTTTCTCCTGCCTGGCTATTAGTCATTCAGCTCTTTATTAGACAAATCAGGTGTTTTAGACAGGCAAAATAACACAGAGCTAAACAAATGCAACATAAAAAAATGCAACACATCTTTGCATCGTTAAGCAAATGTTCCACAGCATAAATGAATGTAACATGTCTTAAAGCAGTGGGATGAGTGCCTTTCTGCACATTCTAATTTCACTGGTATTGGATGGTGGGAAGATGAAGAATAGGATGGGAGTGCGCTTTTGGTGTCTTGTGGGACTGGAGTATCTTTCAACACATCTAAAATCACTGGAGGTCTGTAGTTCACATGGCTAAGCAGTAGTTTTATAGCATTTGTACTCCATATAACTTATACACTATGGTTTCTGCTTGCCGTCAAATGGGCACTGCCAAGACAGCGAGTGTTCCCCTTTGCATTTACTTCTTCCTGGTGCTGGAAACTACATGGTGGCAGCTACAGCTGCAAATACTTACTGCCCTGGTGTACAAAGGGAACCACTTCCAACTGCTGTCAGTCAGGAACGTGTGTAGCCGTGTCTACCAATTTCTCCAAAGAAACTAAAGTTACAGTGCTTTGCATAGGATTGCTTATTTTAAAACAACTGTAGCTCATTTAAAAGACTGCTTGGAAAAGCGGAAGTTGCTGCAAGTTTTCTCAGTCCTCCACCCTGAGCTGCACAGGAAAACCATTTCAAAAGCATGAAGCATGAAGCTCACCATCCATTGCTTATGTCTCCTTTCTTGCTTCTTCTGATTAAGATGATTTAGTCTTCCACCAAAAGTTTTATCTATTACTTTTCATCCTTACTCTCAAACAGAAGCTTTCAAAGGGACATTAATCCCCCCACACCATCACTTCTCCCTTTGGAGACAGAAGAGGAAGTTTTCTTCATTTTGTGGCAAATGAAAGTCAATTCAATATTTAAAAAAAATGGGTGGAGCTGGGAAGATTTGTTCCTGCACTAGTTCATGAGTTCATCCCACCATGGGATTCATTTCTTTATCGCCTATGTCCAGAGAACTTAAGAGATCAGAAGGAAATGTGTTCAGGAAACTCTCCTTTCCCCAAACCCAAGTTAGTCAGCTTTCATTATCATAACAAAGATCTGAGATGGGGTTGGAAGATTTCTCATTGGTTAAGGACACTGGCTTCTCTTGCAGAAGACTGGAGTTTGGTTCCCAGTGCCCACACCCCTCCCCCACCCCTTTTCCCTCCATCCTCACCCTCACCAGGAAATGCTCACAACCACCTGTAACCCCCAGTTGCAAGGGGTCTGATGCCCTCTGGAACACCCGGGAACAAACACACACACACACACACACACACACACACACACACACACACACACAAACACCACAAATGAAAATAAATCTTAAAAAAAGAAAGGAAAAAGAAAACGAGCTGGGCTCCTGAATGTGTGTGTTCCTAAACGTTGATGCTAGACTGGTCTGGTCTTGAAGTTAAATTCAGAGCAAACTGTGGAACCTTAATTTATAGCCTTCCCCCAAGTGCTTGGGTAAAGCATGGTATACTTTTATACTAGTCATGTTCTCATGGCTCTGCATTTCTTTCTCTTCATTCCCCTCCTCTCCTGGTCCCTCACGTCATCATTCCTTCCCGCTTCCTCTCTGTTCAGTGGTTGGCTCTGTGCCCATGCATTGTTTGTGCCGAGATCTAGAACTTGACTGTGATGGAGCCAATTTACGAGCTGTCCCGTCAGTTTCTTCCAATGTGACTGTAATGTAAGTAGCAAAGATTGGCTCGTCCTTAAGGCTGGATAGAACTGCAGCGAAACCACCCTGAATGACACCAGGTCAATCCTTAAGACGCATTTGTGTTCAAAGACCGTCTCACCTGTAGATCAGTGATAACGAATTTTTCACAGATGGCTTTAAATGCTTTTAAATACTGGCCTTACCTTAAATTGCTCCATAAACAACTCTGGGAAGTGTTGGCCACTTAACATATGTTATATAAGCAAAAGAGGCCATCCATTTCAATTGTTGGGGGGGGGGACTAAATAAACTACTACCCACAGCTTTCCTCATCACACAGAATTTTTATTGGATGCTTATTGCAAGAGCTGTTTTAGAGCTTATTACACATGAAGAAGTTTTCGTGTACTCTTGTGTACAAGTAAATTTCATTTACT